AAAAAGTAAATAAAAATCACCCACACTTATTAAGTTTTTGGGCAATGTACTTACTGATAATTTATTTCTGCTTGGTGGAAGAAAAAAATAAGACATATATATTTTAATGGCTGATAATTTGTCCAGTAGAACGAATTGACATAATTTAGAACTGAATCGTCGAATTGCTAACTTGAGTTATGCATTAAAAAACTGAATTTGAATTTGCATAATTTGAATTTATTAGTTTTTTTTGAAAGATTGACCCTCTGTGACCTTAAAGGGAATCTTTGGATTAAATTGAAAAAAGTGATATTTAGTGAGCTCACAATACATTTCGTGCAACGTGAATTCAGATTCCGTAGAATATTTATATCAGTTTCAACTTACAGTTCAACACTAATAATCAAAAAATCAAATAAAATGTAGCAAGTTTAAACAGTTTTTTAATGCATTTATTCAAGTGAGCAATCAGATTCAGTCTAAATGATTCAATCAGCTTCTACTGCATGGCACAAATATCAGCCCATATAGTGATCCCTGGAAGGAAATTCACAAGCTGTATATGAATTAATTAAAATAAGCCCCAACTTCACCAGCTGCAACATTAACATTATGTACACATTACTGTATTAACAACTTTAACCTGATGATTACTTTTCCTTTTTGCCCTTTAAGTATATTTTGATTCCAAAACTTTCATACTTTTATTCAAAAGTCAATTTTTAAAAGCATAATATTACTTAGAAATGATGTTTATAAACTGTGATATTGATATAACTGTAAAATATCTGAGTACTTCGTCCACTAATGGAAGTAGGTTAAAAGCAGAACTACTACTACAACAAACTTGGTTTCTCTCCTCATTCTGTTTCTAAGCACTAATGAGAAAATGCTGGATATTCTGAAAAAGGTAGGACTCAAAAATCCACCCTGGGACAGCAACTTATTCATACAGCCAGGACAAATGTACAGTAGTTTGCATAACTCATTTGACTTACTCTGTGTTTTCCCTTTGTTTAGTTTGATAGCATCTGAAAACCCTCTGACTGTAAATATCACATTTCTACAGAAGGCCTCAACAGAGCAGAATGCAAAGCAGCCAATGGATACAGATACATTAGTAATGTAAATCTAAATCCTTTGTGGTCTTGTGACCACAATGAATGACAGTAATGACAAAGTAGAAACACTGAGCTCAGAAGCTGAAATCTACCTCTGCTCCAGTTACACCAATAGTGAATGTGCAGCAGTTATATCTTGGCTCTGCATCAATATTTGACTACACTGTCAAACTGACAGCTAACTCTGTAGTCACTCCTGGTGTTGTGGCTAAGTGGAATTCCTTGCTTTTTGTTTTTGTTTATTTTTTTTGTTTTATGAAGTGAACAGATTACACCACGGTCTCGGTAATAGATTTATATGTACAGATAGAAACATATATGATATTCAAGCCTAGTTTCACAAAGATGTGTGTCACATGACTTCTAATCAAGAGTTCTGCTACTGTATGAGGTTTTGTTGTCTATAAAGTACCAGTTATTTTCAAATAAAAGGGGTAAACATTTAAATATAAGGTTATTAATTTTTTTGCATGATCCATATTGTCCGACATCAAACATTTCATTAGTTTATGAAGTATGATATTGTTAAATATCAACCCAACAGTATGAACAGCTGTTAAAATGAGCTCCACCTAAATGGTAGTAAATCAAGTATATGGTAATGGTAAAATTCCAATAATAAATCAACACTTTGGATGGGATCATTTTGCATTATGAGTACTTTTACTTTTGATACTGTAAGTGCAATTTCTAGTATTTAAACATTGTGGTATTTGTATTTTTAGAGTACTTTATCATCCACTGACTATGATGGAAACAACTGATAATGGTCACCTAATAGGCGGGTAACATGCAAAACAGGTGAAAGTGGAGCTGGTGTTAATTTTCCCTGGACTGACACACATTACAGAGCAACATGACGATGGAAAGGATCTTACTGGGTGTCTTGTATCTCCCAGGTCAGTCAGTTATTTGATATATCTGATGTCTATTATTAAACGTACTATGTATTATGAACAAGTTTAAATTAAGTTTCTACGTATGAATTTGTGGGAAAAGAATGAAGATCAGTGGGTTTGAAGGGGGTTCTAATTGTCTTCCATTGTAACTAAGCTTAAAAAAAAGTTGAATATTTTTTTAAGTTTAAGTTTGAATGGGATTTTAAAGTTGAATATTACCCAAAATGTCTGAAACATTAACATTTCACAGTTTGAATGGAGTTTCTAGTTCAAACGGTGAATAAGTAGTTAAGAGCTGAAAATACATAAAGAAACACGAAATTAGTAAAATTTGTACATTTCATCCATTTGTTTAAATGGAGTAAAAGCATAGAAAAAAGTATATATATATATATATATATATATATACATTTTGTTTAATAGGCATTATATAATAGGTATCAATGAGAAAAGTGTTAGCCGGCATGTTCTTTATTTCTACGGTTAAATGGTGGTTAAATGCCAATCCACCATTCTGCTCACAGGCTGGAACATCTTCTCCTCATGCCTTCTCCATCAGTACCACTTCGTTGTTGATCCTATGAACTGGACCGAAGCTCAGAGCTACTGCAGAGATACATACACGGACCTGGCCACCATTGAAAACACTGAAGAAATAAACAAACTTATCAACACAGTTTCA